TATAATATTATAATACTATAATAGATAGAGGTCTCTTAATTATATATATATATATACCTCTTCTTAGCTATTACTTTTTTCTTTCTTCTTTAATCTTCTTAATCTTTTCTTCTTACTTCTATATACTATAGTTACCTCTTAGAAGTAAGCTATATCTTCTTTCTCTTTTTATTAATCTAACCTTTCTTATTTCTCTTTTAACTACTACTACTATCTAGCGCTAGCGCTCTAAAATCTATCTTAGCTTACTAATCTTTATCTAAGAAAATAGATACTACGCTTAATAAAGATAATTTAGAAGATAAAGACTAGAATTCTAATAAGCTTAAGGTTTTAACTATAGCTAAGAACTATAAATATCTAGATAGAACTTTTAATTTTCTTTAACTAATTCTTAATAGCTACTCTAAGTATACTAAACTTAATAACTATAAACGTATTAAAGTTATCTAAGTATAGTATTAAGAAGTCTCTATTAGTTACTACTCTAATAGCTTATTAATTAATAGTACTTATATTTATTAAACTTATATATAAGTAATAGCTACTTATATAGATCTTTTTAAGTAAGCTATAAATATAAAAGCTATAAATAATATTCTTCTTCTTTTATATTTTTTCTAAGATAAGTAGTATAAACTCTAAACCTACTTAATTATATCTATTCTTTTTATTAAGTAGTATAAGCTTAGTAAATAAAACTCTAACTTTCTTAGCTATTACTTTTATTTTTAGATAGTCTATAATCTATACCTAATTTTTTTTTAAAAAAAAGTTAGTAAAAAGATAGATTAAAGTAAGCTAGTAAAAAACTTTAAGTAGAAGAGTAATATTACTATAGAGAACTTTAAGTAGCTATTCTTTAATAATAAAAAACTTAAAAAGATTATTAAAGAATTCTTTAAGATATATTATTACTACTTCTAATATATTAATAGTAATAAGAACTTTAGCTAGCTTTATATTATATACTATTTTTTTATTTAATAAGCTATCTATACTAACTTTTATTACTAGATACTCTACTTAGTACTTTATAAAGAATATACTATAGTTTTCTACTTCTACTATACTAAGTATACTATACTAAGTAATAAGATATTTGTTTACTATATTAATCTTAATCTAGTAGTTATTTACACTTAAGGTATAAGTACTAATATAATCTAAGAATTAGTTTTAATTAATAATAAAAACTCTTAGAACTATATAAAGGTCTTAGAAAGCTTCTATTATTATATAAAGCTATACTTATAATAGCGTAAAACTACTAAGAAGAATTCTAGTAGCTTTATTAAAGAGTAGAAAAATAATATTAATTAAATATAAGAAGTATAAGTAATAGCGCTAGGTATAAAGTAAAAAAAGTCTATTTATAAAGAAAAAAATATTTATATTATCTACTTTATAATACTCTATAGCTTTATAGAACTAGTAACTAAGACTTATTAAATAATTTTTTTATAGTATATTATAGTATACTAAAGTATTATAAAGATTCTAGCTATAGAAATATATAATAAAATTTTAAAGTCTTATTATAATCTTATAGCCTTTTTTATAATACTATCTAGATATTATAATAAGTATAGTAGTATTAAGTAGGTATTTCTAGTAGATATATATATTAACTTCTTCTTTTAGATCTAAAAGGCTATTCTTATATAAGTTTTTTAGAATAACTCTTTTATATATAAGAAGATCTATAAACTTCTTAATAAGAATAAAAATAGTATTTTAGAGTATATTAAAAAAGAGTATAAGTATATTATTAAGAAAATTAAGATACTATAGCTAGTAGTTAAGAAGCTTAAGAAAACTATCTTTACTAAGAGTACTAATAGTAAATATCTAGATATTTTCTTCTTTACTAATAAGAGTAAACTTTCTACTTATAAAAGATAGTAGTATATTTAGAATTATAATTATAGTATAAAAAATACTATTAGGTATTTTATTAATAAAATTAATATAGAGCTAGATATTTATTACTACTTCTATAACACTACTAACTTTAATACTATATCTACTTCTTTTTCTTTATTTAAGACTTCTTAAGCTTATACTAGTAGTCTAGCGTTTAGTTTATTATTACTCTTTAGCTTCTTATACTCTCTAATAATATTACTACTACTAGTTTTACTACTTTCTTCTTAGTTTAAGATACTAATACTAGCTTTATTAGCTTTTACTACTAGTTTATCTAAACTACGTTATAGTAAATAAAATATAAAGTAGACTAAATATACTAGTAATATTACTAGTACTTAGATTTTAGGTAAGCTTTTTATTTTACCTAAAATTTACTTACTACCTACACTATAGTAGTATATTACTAATATTTCTACTTAATTATTTATTTTACTTTTTACTTTCTTTTTTATATTTTTTCTTTATTTTTTCTTTATACTATAAGTAATTAATACGTTCTAAATAGTATAATAGAACTATACTACTAAAAAAAGAAAGTTTATACTAGTATATAAAGTATTTTTATATAAATTAAATCTTTAATAACTTAAGAATTATCTAAAGAAAGAACATCTTTTAATAAAAGCTTTTTAGAGATTATCTTATAATCTACTATTTTATTTTTTACTTATACTTTTTAGTATTAGACTTTTATATAATACTTTAGATAATAGAATTTCTCTATAAAAAAACTCTTTTTTACTAAACTAATATCTATATACTTTTTTACTTATACTAATTACTTTACATTCTTATAGTAATATATCTTTATACTTTTTAATATCTATATAATAGTAGCTATATAATAATATACTAGTAAGTTAGTTAATAATATTACTAGTAAGATATAACTAACACTATTACTTACTTTATAAATAACTACTTAATATACTAATAGGCTAAGGTAAACTATATAGCTAAGTATAGATTACTTTACTCTTTTCTAGTTTTTATATAGTACTAGAATAATATTTTTATTAACTTTATTATACTACTATTTATATCTTAATAGTATAGCTACTTCTATTAATATATTATAGTTATAGTAGATTATCTTTCTAAAATAAAAAAGTTTATAGCTATAAAAAATATAAAAGTACTTATAGTTATTAATAAGTTTATAGAGTATATTTAGAAAAAGAAGAAATACTTATACACTATTATATCTAATAAAGGCTATTAGTTTACCTTCTACTTCTAAGCTTAACTATATAACTAGATTAGAATCTACTTTAAACTATCTACTATATATTACCTAGAGACTAATAGCTAAATAGAAAACGCTAATACTAACTTAAAGTAATACTTTTAGGCCTATATTAACTACTTATAGAATAACTAGGCTTAGTTACTTCTACTAGCTAAATTTAAAGCTAATTTAGTAATAAGTATAACTATAAGCTTATCTTTATTTCTTACTATAAAGAGCTACTAGCTCTAATTAGAACTAGAGCCTATATATAAGCTACGCCTACTTAATAATACTAGTTTCTTTATTATCTAATAATAGCGTAATACTAACACTCTTACTAATTATATTAATATAACTTATATTTTTCTATAATAATAGATACTATAGTTCTAAAATAAAATAAAAAAGTTTATAAATATAAACTACTTACTAGCTCTATACTTTACTTTAGAAAAGTAAGTAATACTAAATATACGCTATATTTAAATAAAGTAACTAGTTAAGTTACTAGACTATAAAAATATAGAGCTATATTAGATTATCTATATTATTAATAATATAGCTTATAAACTAAACTTACTTTTTTAGTTAAAAGCTATATTCTTTATATTTTTCTTATAGCTTTTATAGCTATATAATAATAATATACTTTTTAAATAACTATAACTTAGTAATACTATACTACTAGAAGTTTACTTTACTAATAATAGTATTATAGAGTATATTATTTTTTAAATTATTAACTTACGCGTTTAGTATAATATAGTTAATCTCTATACTAGTAAATATAGGCTACTTTAGTATAAAGTAATATAAGTTAGTAATAATTAGTTAGATTTATAGTAGCTCTACTTTAATATATATAGCTCTAAGAAGTTTATTTAGAACTTCTATACTTATAATTTTTATAAACTAGAATTATATAATATATTTTATAACTATAATAATAATAAAGAGCTTACTATTACTTTACTCTAGCTATTAGACTTTAAGTACTTAGAAAAAACTAGCTAGTTATTTATAAACTTTTTTAGCTATATTACTATTATAGTCTACTAGACTAATTATAATATATATCTCTACCTAACTTTAGTTTCTATAGCTATTAGTAGCTATAAGGTAGCCTTAGACTACTCTACTTACTATCTATTAGCTTTAGCTAGTATAGTATTTACTATAGTACTCTAGTAGGCTACTAGATCTCTTAATATAGATAATAATAATAATATTACTACTAGCGTGTTAAGATAGAAGTAATCTTTAATTTTATTTTTAGGTCTTCTTATTAAAAAAGACCTCTATTTTATATATCTTACTATTACTACTTAGTTAGAACTTTAAGCGCTTTTAAAAAAGAACGTATAATAGTTCTAAGCCTAGAGCTTTATTAGCTTAATATTAAGCTAATACTTCTACTATATATATTTACTTCTAATAGCTTTTTTTAAAGCTCTCTACTATAATAATATTATTATTCTATATACCTCTATTATTAACGTGTGTAAGACTCTTACAGCACTCTAGCAGCTACTTGCGCCTTATCTCTAACTGTTTCTCCTATGCAGCTTAAACCTAACATGCGCCTTATGAATTCTAGGACAATGAGGCAGAAGCCGTGTCCTCATGATCATGCGCCTGTGCGCCCCATACCCAATAGCGTCTGAGCCTCTGCACCTAGGCATGCAAGGCTGGAGTCTGTTCGGCTAATCATTGGTCCATCATCTAACTTTCAGCTGTCATCTTTGTGCAAACGCCGCTATCTTACTACGCATCTCTTAGCTCCTACAACTCTGTTCAGTGTACGTTCACCTATGCGCTAGCTCAGCACTCCTACACCATGTACAAGTCGCTGACTTCAGCGACGACAATCCGGGTTCTGCACATCCATCCTGCCCCCGAAACGGATCCTCTCACGTGCAGCCTGGAAGATTGCGACCTCGACAACGATCCGGAGTACGAGGCCATCTCGTACGTTTGGGGCAACTCGGATTTGTCCTGTTCGCTCACCTGCGATTCCAAGGTCATCGCAGTGACTTGCAGTCTGCACGAGGCTCTCCTACGCATCCGGTTACCGGAGCGGCATCGAACAGTATGGATCGATGGACTGTGTATCAATCAAATTGACGATGTTGAGAAGTCGCATCAGGTGCAGCTTATGCAACGCGTCTTCCGCAATGCGCATAGAGTCCTCGTGTGGCTAGGCCCTGATGTATATGGCTTCGGCCCTGGGAATGATCATGGCTACGCCCGGGACGCGTTCGATATTTGTTCAACGCTGGGCCAGCGTGACATCGACTCTAAAGACCTCGAGGCTACGTTGAGAAGAATGGATCAGTACACGGGCGTTAATGCTGTGAAGTGGGGCTGCCTCCGCGCCTTGAGTAATCAGCCATGGTGGGGGCGTGTTTGGATCATACAGGAATTCGCACTCGCAAAGGATTTACTCTTCTTATGGGGCGCGGAGGAAATTCAATGGACACATATCAACCTGGCTATCAGCAACCTCCAGAAGTCAGACGTAATACGGTACTATACGCTACTCCAGTCTACGACTCTCGAACCCATATCCCGGTTGTCTGCAATCAAGGATCAACGCTGCTACGCGACGAGTTTTATGGGAACGATCCATACAGCCAGGGCATTTGGATGCTCAGACAATCGCGATCGGATCTTCGCTATCTTGGGACTAGAATGTGGTGATGACCGTTGGGAAGCAGCAGACCCCGCTGGACAATCGCTAGCTAAAGCTACCATACCGGACTATACTTTACCTGCAGAGCACGTCTATCGGCAATTTGCTATCCGGGCCCTGCAGCGGGGTTTGACGGAAGACATCTTCTTAGCAGTTCAGCACGAGGAGCAGCTAGAACAGTGGCAGCCAGGCGATATGCCATCGTGGTCACCACGTTGGGACCTTCCTCTCGTCAACAACTTTCCATCCTGCCACAGACTGCATGAAATTTGCAAGTTTCACAGTCTCTCCGTAGAGAACGGCATCTCTTTCACAGGATCTACTCCTAAGCCAATGTCTGCACTGCAATCAAATTTCGACCCGCTCGCTGCTGACACTCTTAACGTGCTGAGCGCTACCTTAGACAAGATCGTCGCTCTCTCGGAGCCTATACACTTCCTGCAATTTATGTACCGTAGGAACCGCCCCAACCTCTTAGAAAGCTTCTGGGAACAGCATATCAGACCTCGAGAAGCGACAAACGGATATAAGGCCGTCATGACAGACTTATGTGAGAACGCTACCTACTACATGACTTCCGAAAACCACGTCAGTGTTTTCTATGCGGTCATTCAACAGTATGCGGAAAAATCTCCAGAGGCGATAGCGGATTATGCGAAACATGGAGAGCATGCCATGCTGAGGTCCGTAGCGCAGTTGCTGTTGGAGACGAGCGAAATTGCATCTGTACAAGATCCATCCCTGCTAGACAAAGAGTTCAGTTACATTACCCATCGTCTGAGGTTCTTTATTACCCAGCGGGGCTGCATTGGAAGATGTCCAGCCGCCGTTCGGCCTGGTGATCACGTCGCCCTATTGTGGAACACCGCTTGTCCTGTGATCCTGCGTCCACAGGATGGCTTTTATCGTATCGTTGGCGGTTCATACATGGCAGCCTTGAACAGGAAAAGGACGGAAGGCGTTTCTCACCCACTAGACGATCTATTGTCGGGAAAATCGAGGCCAGGAATGATTCAGATCCGTTGATCGGAAGAGTTACTTACCTAGGTATTGAGTGTGACTGCACTCCTAGTGGGTCAGCGGATTCACATGTTATAAACCTCAGGCGGCATGGTCATTGCACAATTACCATTCCTGGGGTGAGCCTCAGTACAGAGAAACCATATAGGATCGCAAAGTCAAGTAACCAGAAGTCTACGCCTGCGGACGGTAGCGCCCCGCAATAATTTCATCGGGAGGCCCCGCGGCATGCGCCACCGGTAGCCTCCGACATGCAGATGAAGAGCAACCCCATCCAAGGACTCAGTGAGCGATAAGCGGGAGCAGTGTCTTAGTCTTAATTGACACCTACACCTCTCAAAGGCTGAATCCTCCGTCATCACGAGATCCATCTCAGCTACTCGTCCACAAAATGTCTTCCCACACAACCTCAACGACACTACCACCCAAGGACCTCGTCTCAAGCCTGCTATCTACCATCGAGTATAGCATCATACCCCTGACGCAAAAAGGCGTGTCAAGCGGTTCAAAACTCTTCGGTGCAGCTATCCTATCCCGCAAAGACCTTACACCATACACTCTCGCTACAAATAACGAGCGCATTTCACCCCTCTTGCACGGCGAGATCAACTGCATCCAACAGTTCTGCACCGTCGACTTCCCCGATCCTTCAACGCGACCTCATCCCGCCAAAGACTGCATCTTCCTTGCTACTCATGAACCATGTTCCTTGTGTCTCAGCGGCATCACATGGGCGGGCTTCAACGAGTTCTATTATCTGTTCACATACGAAGATAGCCGGGATCTCTTTGGAATCCCATACGATATCGACATCCTGCAAGAGGTGTTTCGGGTACAAGGAAAGGGCGAGACTGAAGAGCAGGTACAAAGCAGGCAGCTTTATAACCGCAAGAACAAGTTCTTTACTGCAAAGAGCTTTGCCGATGTCGTCGAGGAGATTGAGGATGAGAGCGAGAGGAAGCGGCTACTGGGTGAGATCGACAGGGTCAAGAGTCTATACAATAGTCTGAGTGAGACTTATCAAAAGGGGAAAGAGGCGGGTGCAGAAAGTTCGAGTGTGTGGAAGTAGATCATAATGGTCCCTCTTTGGCACGGTCATTGTTCGGCGTTGTAAACTTCAAAGGCGGCTTCAAGTTCCGCTTTCCAAGGTGTCGCGGTTAGCCCCGCATTTATCGATAACAAATTTCAGCTAGCTCGACCCCTCGGAACGCGCCTGCGCGTGTGGTGTCAAACTTCAAGTGAGGAAGAATCTGACTCAACCAGGGATTAATCCTGTCATCTTTAACTCTGGGTGCCGCGTCGCGTACTTTCGTCTCGTCTTTCTTTTCTAGTCTTTCCGCCAGCCCGTTGCGCAATTATCTGACAGTCCGCGACTGTGAACGAGGTCATCCGAAAAGGGTCGAAATTTTGGTGGGCGAAGGACCCCAGCCTCACTGTGTAACCAATATCCAGAAGCCGATCGGGGCTCAACGGCACAGGTCGCAAAGATGGCGAACAGCCAACGAGAAGATAACACAATCTATCTCACAGAGAAAGAGGCGGAGCGCATCCAGAACACCATCAAAGACCGGTTAAAAAGGTGCGAAGAGCAAAGCGGAAATGCAAAGGCTCCAAGAGACAAGTTGGCCGCTCATCAGGCGGCCACCGGTGCAGCTTTGATGGCAGATATGGGAGGCGCGCCTGATCCCGATATGCTGCAAACCCAGGGGAAGACCTCAACTACTATTCCAGTCATCGGAGTAGGCCGGCCGTATCCACCATGCACGACTCCGCTGTCAGATCTGGAACCGATGAAGATGTCAGAGCTTAAGATGGATACGCATCACCGAGGTCGCAAGCTGGTAGTCAAGCGAGAAAGCCCTGTAGTGACTCTCGTGGCGAGGTCCTGGACTATGGTTCAAAATGAAGATGGAACCGATGCAGAACGTCTCGAGATATTGCTGCATAAGTCGCGGTATAGCGAGGACGTACTGGAGTCAACGAAACTCTTCATCATCAAAGAGCCGTACTTCACCCTCACTGAACAGGGCGAGCCTACACTACGCATCGACCATCCCTCAGACCTAGTTATTTGCCACGAAGAAGGTCCGAAGAGCTTTGAGGATGCCGCAGCGGCAGAAAAGGCAGCTACAAGATTCAAGACGCAAGGCAACAACGCACTCAAGAAGCAAGATCTCCCACTGGCCCACGAGAAATACACAGCAGGTCTAGCGATCGCAAAGCAAGACATCTTAGCAGAATCGAACCCCGATATAGCACGCGACATCTCCCGGAATCGCGCATACGTGAACTTGCTACTAGGCCGACTAGATGAAGTAAAGACAGACGCCCGCGCCTCACTAACCGGACGCGAAGACCAAAAGTCCAAAGAATTAGACAGCAAAGCATACTACCGCGCCGGCTCAGCCGCATACGCTCAAAGCCACTGGGAAGAAGCGAAAGGCTTCTTCCTCGAGCAACAAAAGCTCACACCCGACGACAAAGACGCCAAACTCCAACTCAAGAAAATCGAAGCCCGCCTCCGCGAAGAAGAAACAGGAGGCTACGACCTCATGAAGATCCGAACCAACCTCTCCAAAGCCCGCTCACGAGTCGACGCTGGAAACTTCACGAAGAACACGCTCATCAAAGACAGTCCCGGTAAAGGCCGCGGCCTATACGCAACGCGCGACCTCGCCACCGGCGACATCGTAATGTGCGAAAAAGCCTTCTGCGTAGTCTGGGGCCACGAAGAAGACACCCTAACAGCCATGACCTACGATACACGCGACGACCGGATCCGTGTCGCACCCGTCGGTCTCGCAAAAGCACTCGTACAGAAATGTCTGAACCAGCCTTCTCAAACAGAGAAACTGATGGATCTATTTGGCGACTACCAAGGCGAAGGCCCACAGATTTTCAGCAACGAAGACGGTGCTATTGTAGACGTATTCCGCGTCCACGATATCATGTCGCGGAACGGTTTCGGGCCTGGAAGCCAATTCGGCGAGGAGAGCGCTAGGAACGCTAGCACAGGACTCTGGCGACACGCGGCTTATATCAACCATTCCTGTCTGTCCAACACCACGAAGGAATTCGCAGGCGATATGATCATCATCCGGGCTACCCAGCCCATCAAAGCCGGCGAGGAAATTTTCCATCCGTACGACGCGTCGCTTGATTACGAGACCAGGCAGGGATTCTTGGAGAGGACATGGGGTTTTAGGTGTCAGTGCAAGTTGTGCGATGCGGAGAAGGAGGATGGAAAGGAGGTGAGGGATAAAAGGATGGAGTTGGTGGGGGAGGCGGATGCGTTTATTGATAAGACGCCTTGGGCGGGGGCGAAGAGACTGCAGCTTAGGAAGGCGCAGGGTATTCTGAGGGAGATGGATAAGACGTATGATGAAGGGAGGTGGGAGGATTTGCCTAGGAGGCATACGGAAGGGATTAGGGCGTGGTTGGTTAGGGCTAGTCCGCGGTAGGATGTGTAGCAGAGTGCCTGTCGCGTAGGATATGTGGGATGTGAAGAAGTGTGGATATGTGGATTGGTATATCGCTAGTCCGAATTACAAATATGTGAGCGAGTGTGTCTAATCACCAGCTACAACCCCCTTCTATCATTGCAACAGAGGATACGTGCGATCAAGTGCTAACAAAGTCCGCTCAAACCTTCGTCGACTTCGTCTCCATCATCTTCGGCTCCTCGTACGGCGGCACTGATCCCGTCTCCTCACTGCCTATCCTCATAATGGCGTTCGTGTTGTCAATCGTCTCCAAAGGCGCAACTGGCTTGTCACCGAGAAGAACCTTTTCAGATGGAATAATCCAGTTGAACCACGATGGCATCAGTAGACCTAGAACAATGGTAGGTAGCACGAGGTGCACGATGCTGAAGCCGTAGATCATGATGGGGTCGAACATGTGTTGTTGTGTGAACTTGGGGTAGGCGAAGGAGAGGACGATGGCGAGGATGGGGCCGGAGATGTACTGTGAGGGATAGCAATCAGCAATGTACTTGAAATGCCGCGTTTGTTGTGAACATACCTTCATGATAACAGCCCAGTAAAAGGGAATATTCCAGTTCTTTCCCACGCCAATAGTCACATTCATGTCCCGGGTAAGCTGGTGTCCAGGGTAGAAAGCGACCCACCAGAAGCGGCTGAGGAACTTGTTGTTACCGAAGAAGCGGGGGCCGGGGATAGCAGGGGTTCGGGCAGCGAACAGCGCGATCAAAGAGCTGACGATGAAGAAGGCGAAACCAACACCAGCACCGGTTCCGGGGGTTGATCCGTAGGCTACGCGAATACCGAGACCTTGAGCGACGGCGAAACCGATAGTGAAGATGAGGTAACCGGGCCAGCCGACTTGGTGGGCGACGTCGCGGCAGCGGTAGAGGGATGTTGCGGCGAAGGTCTCGCACCAGACTGTGAAGAAGAGGGCGACATCGTTGACGTAGGTGTCAACTGCATCGAGAGCCTGCAGTCCGAACTCGGTGCAGTAGATGAGGGAGATGAGTGCGGAGATGACGGTGACAATGGTGCAGACGGCCCAGCGGGGAAGTTTGCGGCCCCAGTTCGTGTCCATGATGAGTGTTGTCATGACTTCGAGGAGGGAGAAGGCGGATGTCAGACCGAGGAGGAAGAGAGTGAAGACTATGAGGAACGATTAGCAAGTTGTATCATTCGAGGATGATGTTTTCAAACTCACAAAAGACCACGGAGAAGAACGGAGCACCTGGCATCTGAGCAAGAGCCTCGGGGTAGGTGATGAATCCTGTCACGAAAGTACCGAGCTGTGTGCCGCTGGAGGGATCAATGCCCAGATAACCGACAACACCAAAGACGGAGAAAGCGGCGATAATCTCAACGGCGGAGTTGCTGAAGCCGATGATAAGAGCATCTTGTACGGCGTTGGAATGCGACGAGCAGTAAGAGGCCCACGATGTGAAGTATCTGGAGACATCAGTATACCTTTTTTCTCAGACGTGCCACTAAACATACCCAAAACCGACACCGATGGAGAAGAAGATCTGACCAAAAGCCGCTTGCCAGATCTGAGGGCTTTCGAGGGCGCTGGTGCGCCATGTCGCGAAGTAAAGCTTAATCCCCTCTCCAGCATTAGGCAGCGAGACTCCACGGCCGATGAGAATGATGATAAGAACGAGTGGGAGGCCCATAGTAACGTAGATGACACGTCCGGTCATACCAACACCCCTGAAGACGCACAGCCATGTGACGAACCAAGTGAAGATGGCCCAGCCTGCGGTCTCTCCGAGCATACCAGTCCCGACGTATTGAGTGTACGAAGCGACGCTGCCATCTGGGTTGAGACTACCAGTGGACGCTGCGGCCGTGTTGGCAACGATGACGTTGGCGAAGTATTCCTCGAGATCCTGGCCTTTCCATGGCAGAGGGCTTTGGAAACTGCGGGAAAAGTACTTCATGATCCATGCTAGGAGGGGCACATAGTAGGTGACCACGACATACTATGAGGTTGCAAAGTCAGCAAATGCGTTCTTGTATTGCAAGTCAATTTCACTTACGCCGTTGAAGACGACTGCTAGACCAATACCCTTGGCGCGCTTGTTGTTGCTGTGCCACGCGAGCACTGGGCCACCACGGTAAACGCTACCGAGTGCGATCTCGAGGACCAGGACCGGCAGAGCGACGAAGAAGAGGGCGATGAAGTAGGGGATGAAGAATTGGAGACCGTAGTTGTTGTACACGACCGATGGGAAGCGTAGCAGGTTACCAAGACCAACAGCACCGCCCATGGCGCAGAGGACGAACTGGATGCGGTTCGAGAACATGTCGCGTCCATCTTCGCTCTTCTTCGCCGCTGGCGAGAGCTTCATGAGGATATTCTTGATTGCAGCCATCTTGACGAATGGGTATAGTACGTAGAGAACGAGAGAAAAGGAGTTTGTCGCTCCCGACAGAGTGACGGGGTCAATTCACGACCGTGTAAAGGCGAGTTGCGGAGACGAACGTGAAAGTCGAACCGTAAGATTTGCGCAGTGAGATCCCGGTATATAGAGTTCTACAATCTGACTGTCGTGCCACATATCCTATCTCTCCAAGCATGTGCCCA